ATAATAAGATGAAATCGAAATAAAAAGTATATATTCTTGATCAGCTTTTCAAGCTCTATCAAACCATATATAAATAAGCGAGAAACAAAATTTACTCCAATTCTGCTTTAGCGGCACCTTACTTGTTTTTGACATATTGAGAGTTAATTTCGAAATATTCATAAAATTGTTGGATTTTTCAATCGTTTACATTTATGTTGGCTATGAAAACTAATGATCTTTACTGCTGGGCCGAAGATCCATTCGAATAGCATATAAAAAGAAATCCTTCAAAATAAAACAAGCTAAACAAATCAATGCAACTGCTGTTTGATAAGTATGAACAAAATACAATTTATCTGTGATGTCATCTTAGAAAAAGGCAAGATTAGCTTTCCATTATCAGCTTAGCATTGATGCTAAAATATACCACGTAAAACAAAATCGTAAAAATCTGATTATAATTGACTTTTAAGCGATTAGTGGTCTATTTTAATGGCACTATTATAACCAGATTTTTCCGTTTTAAAAGGCAGATTATTTTTGATTTTGATTTTACTTTAATCGATTTTAATTGATTACCTACAAAACTATAATAATCGATTAAAATAAAATCAAAATCAAAAAGAATCTCCATTTTAAGACGGAAAAATCTGATTAAAATTAGATTAAAATAGTGTCATTATAATAGATTATTGATCCAATGCTTTTTACATGAGTATAAAGTTCTTACTATTCAATTTGGATAGCCATGTAACAGTTATTTTAATGACTATCAAACATAAATGTGTAGTTGACAATAATCTTACATCGAGTTGAACATCGACTGAAAATATTTATAGCGATACAAATGACAAATACGAACAAAGTTGATAGATCAGTGGTTAGTTGTAATTATTCCGAGATCACTATGTAATTTGAGCCGATAATTTGTTGTACATCCGTTTGAGTTATCTCTTTCTAACAAAGCATATTACCGCAGCGAGCTCTATTATTTGTATTATGTTTTCTTTTGACTAGATTCGTAGTGATTAATTTTCGAATCATCACGCTTATAATTATCAAAATTGTATCAGTATTTTAAATGTAACAAAAACCATTTTCAAAAGTACGTTTTGTTACCAATAAATAAATAGTCTTCAAATATTTTTGATTAACTTAATTAGATAAAAGAGTGACTGCAATAGTAAAATATTCAGAAAAGTAGCTAACTGAGAAAAGACCATTATATGGAAGGCAGTGTATGATTTATTGTAAGTATAAAAACATAATTTTTCTGCAGCTGAATCAGCTAAAATTTTCATTTCTTTCTCTCATATTAAAACATAACCGTTACATTTATGTATTGCAAATAATCCGAAAAATCTATCTACCACTCCATCTCACTTTCCTCCTCACGATGGCATTTGTTTTAATCAACACCGTATTTATCAGCAAAATGTTTTAGTTATTATTTTGACAAAAAAAACTTCTAATAAAAGAGAAGAAATCATCAATATTCATGCTTGAAATACTATTAAATATTATTTTTATTTCTATTAAATTTTTGTAATCTATGGTTAGTACAATCGCTAATATAGAGATTGCCTTGCCTATCGAATGCTATATCCATAGGATGATAGAATTGATTGGATCCATTGCCGTCTTTGCCTTCGCCAATAATAACACTACCTTGTGTATCTCCTTTGGGCGAGCACACTACAGGATGTTTTCTCCAATCAACAGCATAGACAATGTCTGATTCATCTACAAACACTTCAAATGGATCTGCTAGTGCCATAGGATCTCTGCTATAGCCATTACCACCTGCAATAAGTATACCTTTTGTTGCATTTTTCTCCCATTTGACTACTCGATGATTGCCCCAACCCGAAACATATACTGAATGATCTTTATCTACGAAAATACAGGTTGGATGACTGAGCTGATTGAGATGGACACCTTTTCCTTTGCCACCTGCTACGACTGTTCCAACAGTCTCAACTTGTTTGTAGCGTGCTTCTTCATGCGCCTCATGATCACAAACATATATGATTCCATCGTTATCAACATTCACTTCCATAGGAAATAACAGATAGGAATCATTAATGCAACGGAACTTCTGTAATCGTTTCGAATGATTCGTGTATTTCATCGACTAATATAATTACTCTTCCAAAATAATTGAAAAACTTGCTGGTTATTATCAAGAAATTGTCAGCTTCAATCAACACTTACAAAATTTCTAGTAATCGAAAATAGAAATATACACAAACAACTATTTTCATACTTTAACAGTTGTGGTTTTTCTTTCCAACAACGACAGCTGATGAATATGCCCTTTTATTAAATATTTTATACCAATGTAAGATAAAAAATATGTGCTAAATCTTGATTAAAAATAAACGTATCGTAACGACCAATAGAATGAATATATCTATATCTTGATTCACTATTTTTATGTGTATTCTTGTTGTAAAAATAATATATTGATGAAAATATTGTATAAAAATTCAAGATTTGTTAAAAATATGTTTCTTATTGTTGTAAAAGACAATAAAATTCTTCTTTTGCGAACAGGCTTCTTCACTTTGAATAACGTTGTTTTCTTTACGAATAGTCATTCGTTCCTGCCTTCTATAATCTTCCATAGTTGTATTGATTGTAATACTGGTATGCCAGACGTCGTCTATACAAAAAGAATTACTTGCTTTTCTTTCTTTCATTTTTCACCTGTAAGCAAAATGCTGCAGGAATATAAAGCTAAAAAGAACAAATAAAAATACGCCACGCGCTTTATTATTATGAAAGTAAGTTTGAGAAACATGAAAGAAACATCATTTTCCCCGGTAGTTTGAAGTCAATAATTTCGACGAAATCTCACTGTAAATGTTCTCGAGTTATGGATATATTTTGTTTTCAATTATTACAATTATATTCTAAGGAAATGAAAAGTTCAGTGTCTATCATAAATCAATAAGGCTAATACAAACTAGTGGTTTACGAACAACATTGAACTTATTCTATTCTGTTTTTTTTGGCTATGAATTCATTAAGAGTTTACTATAATTTTGAGATAATAAATGCATTAGAAGTTAATTTTCAATTGAAATATAAAACTTTTCAAAGAGCAGGAACCATACCTTCACATCGTAACAAGTTCTATTGATCAACAGGATGATATATAATTTGTTTTGTTTTAGCCAGGCATCTGAGGCGTTGTTAACGATAATTTCAACATAAGAAAAAACACATAACTAATGATGACTATCAAAACTATACAAATGAAAAATCGATCTGCTTAGGATATTTTGTGTTATTTTATCCTGAATCTCATTGAAAACAAAATTGACTAGCTTATTAACTGCTAATAATGGGCTCTACCAGTTCAACATCCACTTCAAATGTCGACAATAAAATGCCTTCTTCTAAGCCTGCGGACGGCTCACCAAGACAATCCTCACACAAGAATGTACGTGTAAAACGACTGCCCCAACAAGAAACGCTTGGATTAGATGCTGCCGTACAAAACGATGTCCCTTTATCTACATGGTCTCCACCACCTACATCAAGGCAAACAGAAAAAACATTTACCAATGTTCTTCTTCTCGGAGAATCTGGTGTTGGAAAATCAACTTTTATCAATGCCTTTGTTAATTATTTAAAATTCGACAAGCTGGAGCTTGCTCGTAATGGCCAACCAATAACGGTTATGCCAGTTTCCTTTCTTTTAACCGTTGGTAACACCTTTGATGAACGAATTGTACGATTTGGTGATGACGATTCCAATGAAATTTTTGATCATCCAGGTCAATCAGTTACTCAACAATGTAAATCATACGTTTTTACGATTGGTACTCGAACTAAATTACGATTAATTGATACACCTGGAATGGGAGATACTCGTGGGCTTGATCAAGATGATCTCAATATGCAAGAAATTCTATCATTTATTAATAATCTACCACATTTAAATGCTATTTGTATACTTCTTAAACCCAACGAGTCAAGACTAAATGTTGGTTTTCGTTCATACTTCAGTCGATTAATTGAGTTTTTGGGTGAAAACGTCCGAAATAATGTTATCTTTTGTTTTACGAATACTCGAGCGACATTTTTTACTCCAGGCAATACAGCTCTTCAACTTAGAGAACTGCTAGCCAACCTACGAATCAAAGACATTCCATTTAAGAAGTCAAACACTTTCTGTTTTGATAGTGAGTCATTTCGATATATAGTCGCTTGTCAGAATAGAATCGACTTCGAAGAATCTCAAAAACAGGACTATGAAGAAAGTTGGGTGTATTCAGTAAAAGAATCAATGCGACTTCTTACATATATCTGTATTGACTTGCAGATGAACTCACGAACTGAATGGAAATCAATCGATTATGCTCGATTTCAAATCAATCAGGTGATTCGTCCAATGTTAGAAACAATTCGAAATCTCTTTCGTAATCTTATACTGCATGATGAAAAGTCGTCGACAAAATTCATAGAGCTTTCTCCAATACCAATTTATTATCCGTCGTCAATCTGTATCAAATGCAAGCGTACTCTCAAGTGTTGCAATGACTTCTGGGTTTATTCTGATCAGACAGATATTATTTCGGAAAAATGTCCTCAATGTGGTAGTAGCCGACATAGTCATATTGATGTTAATTATCCACTTGATTACAAATCGTTCGATAATACAAACAGTCAATATATTGATGAAATAAAAAAGGAACTTGATCAACTCAAAGAAGCAATCATCACATTTCGAAATTTCATTTCTAATACAAATCAAACAGTGCACCTTAGTAGTGATCCAATTTTGACTATTTTGAATCGAATAATTAGTGAAGAAAAGTATATTTGCGTTGAAAAGCAAACAGAAGATCTTAATTCGATATTAAAAGAAAAACTCGATGGATTTCATGCAGAATATCAACAACGACCAAGTAAATCCGAATCAAATAGAAATTCAATTGATTTAGAAAAGATCTATAAACAAATTGAGAAAATTACTCAAATGGAAACGATTAGAAATCAGATGAACGCCATCGAACAATACAACAAGACATATATGGTACAACAAGAGAAAGTTCTTTGCTAGCATTTCATTGTTGTAAGAATAAATATTATTTAAGAAGTACTTCTTCATTTTTAAAGTATTTTAGCTATGAATAAAAATTTTAATCCTCTTTCTTGAGTTATAATTATTAGATGGCTGGCACAAGTGTTGGTGTTTAAAGTCCTGGATAATATTTAACACTAAAATCTGGCATCATAATAAAAAGTTATAGATCTAGCTCTAACAAAAAACGTTTTAAGGTCAACAACATGTAACGATAAATAATTATAATTCATATATAAGCTGATTTATGAGAAGGAAAATTTTCAAAGTCAACACTTCTAAAATTAAGCAGCTAGTGGAATTGTTACAGATCATCACATTTTACAACTGATGTGTTTAATCTACATAAACTATTATAGAAGTATAATAGGAGGTCAATAGCCATAGTTTCAATAAGAAAATAGGGAACTATTAAAAAGAATACTCAGTGAATTGAAATAAAAATATCTTTTTGTTAAATATCAGTATTTTGAGGAAGAAAAGACTATATGATCATCGTGTGTTGTAATTTCGATTTATAAATGAATAAAATATCTGAAATCAAACTATTTCTATCATTTTTAAATTATAGACAAGAGCTTTATGGATTCTACAATGTTATTGTTATCTAGAAATAAGTTCTTAAAATAAAAACTTTCAATTTTTCAAAACATATGTTCCGAACGATTACAAAAAATGATAAATTCGAACATTATTTTATAGTATCTGACACTTTTTTAAACTCGTTTCAAGCTAAGTAAAAATAAATATCTGTCCCTATTTAATACAAAAATGATACACTGAAAATGTATTTTTTTCTTTTCAGAGAAAACACATTGAGAGATGAACACATTATAATACATAGACCCAGGTCAATGATTCCGGAGGACGGATACCGTAGGAATCTGCCGGAAAGATGCGGAAAAATCGCCGTATCTGGCCGGAAAGCATGGGAAAGCGCTGGAAAGTGGAAGCAGTATTCCAGTTGGAAGTTACCGGATTTTTTCCTGTACATTCCAGTCAGTTTCCTGTGCTTTCCGGCTGGAAGTTAACAGGGATCCACAGGAAAAGAATCCGGTAATTTCGGACCGGAATACTGCTTCCGCTTTCCAGCCGTACCTCCACGACCTGGGGATCGATGATTTCAGTTAGAAAGTACCAGACTGATGTTGTTATCGATGAATAGCTTTTGAATATAGTAGGATTTTCAAAATAGAAATCCGTCGATAATATTCAGTGATTGGACTTTGGCGATTTTGTTGATCAATTATGCGTATTTTGGCGAGACATAACTTATTTCATCAATAAATCATCAGTTTAAGCTTGACAAAAATTTGAATGAAGTCTTTGTGTTGTCAAATGTGTATCTCTGCACATGTTTTTACTCTTCAAAAGGTATAAAAGTCTTATTCTAATATTTTTATTCTTTTCTTCCATCATTTATCACGACGAAAAAGCTAATGCAGCAATAAAAAGAAAAAAACACATTGTGCATATTTCTACGATTGTTAATGTAAGTAAGACAGACGAGCGAAGTCAGCGCTATTTTCTTCTAAGCATTTCTTTCAAATTGAAACTCACTCTAATCGTTAGAATTAAAAATAATTGTAGTTCATTTATCCGATAAATTTATGGATAGAAATCAATCATGTCATTTAGCAAGTTCTGTTGCTAACAGGTTTGACTGATGAATTATCCAAAAAAAAATCGTTTTCTCCTCTTCTATTGATTATTAGATGGCTTGGTCTTCGTTTAGAAATGATTGCTAATTTATTGACATTATTTACAGCTATAACGGCGGTATTTATGCGTGATCGTTTGACAGGTGGTACCGTTGGTTTAATGATAACATTTGCTCTACAAATTACACATTCGCTCAATATGCTTGTTCGCGTATCAAGTGATGTTGAAACAAATATTGTTAGTGTAGAACGTATCGATGAATATGCTAAATAGAAATCGAAAGCTTCATGGGACATTCAGTCAAAAAAAAACACCGCCGTATCGGTCAATAAAAGGAAATATTCAGGAAATTAATTCTGTAGAATAGTTTTTATTCGTATGAAATTCATATTTCTTTAGTATTACAAACTTATCAACACGTTACAGAGAAAATTTGCAATTGATATTAAAAGATTTATCTATTGATATTCAATCTGGAGAAAAAGTATTTAAAGTCCTGAGTAGNATGAGGTAAATGAAAATACTTTCATTCGTTTATATATTTGATGATGTTTCTTTTTATTAGTGCTGGTGAGAAACAATTATTATGTTTGGCACGTGCTCTGTTAAGGAAAAGTAAAATATTTATATTTGATGAAGCAACGGCTGGTAAGTTTTAGGCTGTATCAAATAAGACCAAACAGAAGTTTTGGAAGTATAACAGTAGAACTATATACTTCGTCATCCATATGTCTCATTCTCAAACACGATACAGAAATGTGTCTTAGAACGAATTCATTGTTGTGTGCTACAGTTTCTTTCGCGAAAGATCGTGCGAAAATGGCTTTGTTTTGTTTTAACTATGTGATTTTAGCTATTGATATGGAAACAGATCGACTTATTCAACAGACGATTCGTTCAAGATTTAAAGATGCAACTGTACTGACTATTGCTCATCGTTTACATACAATTCTAGACAGTACAAAGTATGCTATAATTTGATTTTGTTTTAACATAGGAAATACAATTTGTATTATATTTCATTTAGAATTCTTGCTTTATCCAATGGTAGTTTACAAGAATATGATGAACCAAAACGCGTAGCTGCTGATTCAAATTCAGCATTTGCAAAACTTTTAAGTGATGCAAATATTCATCTATCTGATATTGGGTCAATCAATTTATCATGACAAATACACGCATATGTCATTAGCAATCGCGTTAAAATGAAAAGAAACAAACAAAAGAACTTTATTATAATAGAAATCTGCTATAGTAATTCCAATTGACTTTTTTAGCTTGGCGTATGTAGAACAACATTTTTCGGTCTTTATTTTCTTAGTAGTTTCGTTTTGGGCGATAAGACGTAAAAATAAACAATATTTTTTCCAATGACTTGCAGCGTGTGTTTAAAAATTGATAGACAGTATCTCATATTGTTCGTGTCAGAGTCTGATTGTAACGGTTTTGTGTCGTCACAGAACTATTTATTCTGAAAGATAGAAGAAACACACGTACATAAAAAAAAACCCTCCTTCAAACATTCTTCCCATTCCTTTTATATGATGAGAGGAATGTCATTAAGCAGTGTTGGCTCACAACGTTATCATATAGATACTAACGTAATAATAAAAACACAACCTTGAAGAGAAGCTAATACTAACACAGATAAGAAACTAATCAAACATAGATGAGGAGTTAATGATAACATAACAAATAGGCAAGGACACTCTTTTGTACTCATTAAGTGCAAACTATTTCTTGAGGACAAAAGAGTGGCACAATTATAATAGAAATCTGCTATGGCAGTTCCAATTGACTTTTTTAGCTTGGCGTATGTAGAACAACATTTTTCGGTCTTTATTTTCTTAGTAGTTTCGTTTTGGGAGATAAGACGTAAAAATAAACAATATTTTTTCCAATGGTTTGCAGCGTGTGTTTAAAAATTGATAGACAGTATCTCATATTGTTCGTGTCAGAGTCTGATGTCCAGAATAGGAGCTAATTTGGAAGGTTCATAGTTAATCATTTTATTTCATTTTTTGAAATAAAACCAAAAGAAAACTATGAAATGATGGAAGCAAATTGTCACGCTGTTTTGTAGCTATTGGCTACAGACGAAGTTATACATACTGTTGGTGTCGAGCAAGCGCTATTCTCCTCGGAAATAACGTCCATAAAATGATTGCGGTCGATCAAGATATATCGATGAAGAGTCGCGAATAAAACCCCATTGTAAAGAAACATCGCTGGATGATGCAAATATTGTTATTACAGTGCCATAGACGCTGGTCATAATGACTGATTAATCTAAATCTAAATCTATATATTTATATTCAGCTCGTTTGACTAATAAAAATAAAAATCGTTTATTGTAAAAGTTTCAACAGAATTATTGTTTAGACGATAAAATGATATCTTTATACATGAGAACTTTATGTTCACATCTATCAGACGTAACTATTTCGACTAGTATCATCCTAACTTACTTGTTCTTATTGCATATGTTTCAACTGTAACCGAAAAAGAAATAGGTCAAAGAAACCATAATGCTATGTTCATCACCCTCGTCAACGTAACTTACTTACTGTTTAATAAAAGTGAAAATTTTATCAAGAATAAAGAAGAAAGGAAGTGTTACAGCGTAACCATCGAAAAAGCAGCACATTCTACTTGTTATTTGTTTGAAGTAAATATAGGAATAAAAAAGATTCGAAATAAATTATTATCTACATTTAAAATTCGATTCAACAAAGGCTAGCTAGAAGTTTTTTTCTTTGCAAACCTACTGATATATGCTTCTTACTTTTTGTTGTCCATGTTTTACCATATGAAATGTGAATCATGTAGTCGACTCAGTCTCACATTCGTGTTCTCCTCCTTTTAACTATATAAATTTTAATTTTTTTCTATTATCAGTACTCCATCTACTCTTGACGCTTTTAACTTTCTACCTATCTGTTGACAGATTCTGTTAGTAAAGAAAAAGTTCGAATGTTTTATACAAAAGTTCAAGCTTTTCAATAGTACCTGTAGAGAAAACTTTTCGAGTGATTCGAACTATCTAAACAAGTCGATAATCAATATGTTTCTTTGAGAACTCGTTTGTCCTAGAACAATCAACAACGAGCATTAGCAAAATTAGATATGGCATCAAATGTTATTATAGGAAATCTTTACAATACAATGAACACCTGTGCGACTGTTCTAAAAGCAAACCTTATTTTAGACTAAATACCATAATGCTACGTCGAATATTCTCTTTTGTGAATTTTTGCTTATTTATTTCCAATGAAACTAATATGCTCGCTTTCACACACTATTACTTGTTATGCTAAGTTTCAGGTTGATACAGCAATGCGATCGAATCAGTATGACATGCAAGTTTTCTTTTCTGATAGAATGCTCGAAATTAATAAATACTTGAGCGCTCAAATCAGGTCTCCTAATGGGATGGGATGAGTTCCTAATCCCATGGGAAATGTGATTATTTTTTTAAAGAAAAATGATTATTCATTTATGTCACACTTGACAATAGGTGAAAAGTATGAATATTATCATTCTTTTTCTGTACTGGTCATTAACCCAACTCCGAGCTCTATTCGAACAATTGAACAAAGAATACGATAAAACATAGAAAACAGAAATAAACATAAATGTTCTTTTTGTTTGAATGTTTTAATAAAATATCATCATCTTTTGTTTTATAAATTGTTCAATATCACCTTCTATAATTATTTCTTCCTCATTATCATCCTTAGTTTCGGATAAACAGGAATATTCAGTTGAGAAAGTCAAATTTCGTTTACAACATCACAAGCAGAATTA